CAGTTTCCCCTCTTAGGATACAGCCTCCAAGTTGGCTGCAGGAAAGCACACGGAGCCCCTGACCCCGCATCCCGGGGAACGCGCTGGGCTGGCCGGGCGGCTTCGCCCTCGGTCCCGGTGCTCCCTCCCAGCCCTCACCCCAGGTCTCACCGAGCGCGAGGTGGCGGCGGGCGCCTCCCATGCTGGAGCGGAGCGGAGCGGCGCGGCGAGGCCGGTGGGGCTGGGCTTTATGCACCCGCGCCCGCAGGGCCCTCCCCCAACTGGCCGCCGGGCTGGAAACCAACAGGAAAGCGCCGGGGAAGCACAGACTCCGGGGCGCGCCCTCCTGGAACAAGCGCGATCTGCTTCCGTCGTCCAGCGGGCAAGAGGCGGCTGCAGACCCGGGCCCTGCGGGGACGGGGTGTCGGGAGCAGAGACCTCGCCACGTCGGAAGGAGCTGGGTCTCCACCAGAACCAAGCCCTGGGCTCAGGCCTGACTCTCACCCCCGATCTATTCCAGAAGGAAAACAGAAGCTTAGTGAAGCCCAAAAGGAACCTACGGAGAGCCCAGGGCCCTTCAGGGATGCCAGGCAGGGGCCGAGAAATTTTAGGGTTTGGAGATGTGGCTTAGTGTGTGGACATGTGCTCAGCTCCAGGAAGGACCTGGGTTCCATCCCAGGCACGACCAAACAGAAGGTCAAGGCTAGGGAGGTGGTCAGCTGTTGAGTACTTGTGGCAGGACCTGAGTTCCAGCCCCAGTGGTACATAAACCAGCCTGAACAGCCCAAGCCTGTAATCCCAGCATTAGTAATTCAACGTCATTTTTGGCCTTATCACAAACTTGAAGCCAGACGGGGCTACATGAGACACAGTTTCAACAAGAAAAACAGGGAGTGGGTGACTGCCAAGATGGCAGGTGGGTAAAGGCACATGCCCCAAAACCTGATGACCTGGGCCTGGAGAGATGGCTCAGCAGTTAAGAGGACTGACTGCCCTGGCAGAGAACTTGGGTTTGGTTTTCAGAACCCACATGGCAGTTAACAACTGTAACTCCAGATCCAACGCCCTCTTCTGTCACCCCTGGGCATTGCATACATAGGTGCACTTAACATGTGAGCAAAACACTCATACACATAATAAAATAAAATAAAAACCCGTATTACTTGAGTTCCATTCCCAGGACCTACATGACTCCCCTTAAGTTGTTCTCTGACCTTCTCAAGCAAACTGTGGTACACACACACCCACACATACACACACACACACACACACACACACACACACACTAAATAAGTAAAAAATGTAATAAAAATTCAAATACAAAAAGGAAGAAGTAAAGCATCAAGGCATTGGCATCTCCACCCACTGCTGGGCTTTGGGCCAGTCTTGTGGACCCTGAATGTTCTACACAGAATCATATGATGGGACATTGACTTCCTGTTTGAATGTCATGTGACTGTCTTTTCTTTCCAGCCATCTAATAATGTTTTCTTGAGACAGGGTCTCATGTAATATAGGCTACCCTGCAAATAGCTATATAGCTGAGGATGGCCTTGAACTTCCTGATCGTCCTCCTCCATCCCCTGGGAGCTAGAGTTACAGGTGCCCACCATCACCCTCAGTTTCAAATCCAGGGCTTTGTGCATGCCAGGCAAGCACTCTACCAACCGAACTACCTCCCCAGCCACATCTGAAGTATTTGAAAACATTGATTTTTTTTTTTCTTTTTCCTTTAAAAATAGGGTCTCATTAGGCTGACCTTGAACTTATATGTGGCCAAGGATGACCTTGAACTTTTGGTCTTTCTTCCTCCATCTCTCAAGTGCTTGGATTACAGAAGCCAGAATTCCCTGTTGTTTATGTAGGGGTGAGCCTGTGCAGTCTGGGCCTAAGTGCTTAGTTTATTCCAACTCACTGATTCCTGAAAACGCTGGGAGCTGATGAGACACACGCCTTCAATTCCTTCACTGAAGCTGACACAGGAGAGCAATGAGTTTGAATCCAAACTGGGATCTGGAAAAACTCTGTTTAAGGGCTGTAGACATAGCTCAGTGGTAGATGTTTGTACACCTGGGTTCATCCACAACAGAAAGAAGTATTTATTTTATTGATATTTAAGTTTAGCTACTATTTGGGGTATTCAAAACACAAATAGTAAGTCTTCTCTTTAAAAAAAAAAATTATTGTTTATAGGGTGCTGGGAACTAACCCAAAGCCTTCTGCGAGATAGGTCAGTCTTTACCAATGAGCCACGCCCACAGATCCCCCCAAAGGTGGAATCTAGGCAGGTGCTCTACCTTGGAACCACACCCTCAATTCCACATCTCCTTTTTGAGTGTATTTGTTTGTTTGCTTTTGTTTTGTTTTGAGACAGCGTCTCATTATGTAGCCCTTGCTGGCCTGGAATTCAATGTGTAGATCAAGCTGTCCTCAAACTCACAGAGATCCACTCGTGTCTGACTCCTCAGTGCAGGGTTTAAAAAACGTGCACCACCATGGCAGGGTCTAAAGTAACTGAGGATGATCCTGACCTGATTCTGTCTCTACATCCCAAGTACTGCTGTAATTACAGGCTTAAGCCATGGCACTCGCTTTCAGTCTCTCTTTTTTTTTTTCTTTTTTGAGACAGGGTCTCCCTGTAGCCCCAGCTGTCCTGGAACTCACTATGTAGACCAGGCTGGCCTCGAACTCACAGAGATCCGCCTGCCTCTGCCTACCGAGTGCTGGGATTAAAGGCTTGCACCACCATGCCCGGTGCTTTCAGTCTCTTTACCTGAACAGATTCTAGATTGAAAAGTGATGAATGCAGCCAAATGTGATGGCACACACCTATAATCACAGCGTTCAGGAGGCCGAGGCTGTGGGGCTGAGACCTGAGCTACAGTGTATGAGAAGAAAATAATGGCAGTTGCAGGAAATGTGTAGCACATAGTAGTTCAAAGGGGATGAGAGAGCCATGGAAACTGAAAAGTGGCGTTTGGCTGCATTAGGGAAACACTGCTATGAGGACGGCTAAGCCTTGGGACTTGAGAGGCGTTAGCGTCCCAGCTGCTGCTACCAGGGGAGAGCCAGCCTAGAGGAGGCTGGAAGAAGGGATCAGTCTAACTCAATGGAGTTTTGGCTTTTTTCTCCAAAAAATTGGAACCCCAGGGTTTAATGTCCACTCCTCACAGACAGGCAGGTAGAGTCTCCCCAGGACTGGAGACTGTCTGTTGAATGGGAATTCAGATGTCTGACTAAACTAAGCTTGGTGGCTCATGCCTATAATCCCAGCACTAGAATGGTGGGGGCAGGAGGATCAGTAATGGCCAGCTTCATCTACATAGCAAGTTCAAGTTTAGCCTGGACTATATGAGATTCTATCTCGAAAAAAAAAAAAAAAAAAAAAAAACCCAAACTAAACCAAACCAAACCAAACCAAATCAAAACAAAACCCAAATTAGGCTAGATGTGGTGGCCTCTGTAATCTCAGCACTCAGGACACAGAGACAGGGGATTGTTGCAAGGTCCAGATCAATTAGGTCTACAATAATAAGACTCGGTCTCAACCAAACCAAACCAAACAACACAAAACAATATCTTGAGGGTGAGGTAGGAGGAATAGGTAACAAGGGGAAAGACCTTGGGCTGATTACTCCAGTGTTCCCTCCTCTGCCACTCCCAAATCTGGCCTGTCAGCAAGTCCAAACAGACCCAGAGTCCTCTTCTGATCAGGAGTCCCACATGACTTGGTACCTGGTTCCCATCCCCCAGTTTCTCTCCAGTACACACCCCAGTCAAGGCATGTCCTTCTTCACCCAAGAACCCTCCACTTCACTGAACAAAAAACCTCAAGTCCTCCTTGAGGTCCTGAGGACCCTAACCCACTCTGCCTCATCACACCCTGTCCTTATCTCTCCTCTTTCCCCATTTTGCCCCCACAGCTTTTATCTCCTTGTGTGATTCTAAATATAATCATATTCTCTCTCCCTTTTTTTTTTTGGTCTTTTTGAAACAGGGTCTCCCTGTAGCTCCAGCTGGCCTGGAACTTGCTATGTTGACCAGGCTGGTCTTGAACTCACATGCCTGGCAATCATACTAATTTTTTTAAAAAAACTTTTTTTTAATCTCATGTGTATGAGTGTGCTGCCTGTATGTATGTGAGTGCACCCGTGTCGTGAACGCCTTGGCGGAGGTCAGAAGAGGGCTTCAGATTCCCCTAGAACTGGAGTTAAGGACGGTTTGTAGCCGCCATGTGGGTGCTGGGAATCGAACCCGGGTCCTCTGCACGAGCAGTCAGTGCTCTTAACCGCTGAGCCATCTCTCCTGCCCCTCATTTTCTCATTTTTAATCATATTATTACAACTCTGACAGTGTTTATCTAGCACCTATCGTGCACTTGGCTTGCTTGCTTTTTTTTTTTTTTAAATCTCAGGCCTGGAGCATACTGGGCAAGCGCTCTAGCACTGAGCCGTGCCCCCCAGCCCCTGACAGGGTCTGACCTCAGGGCCTTTGCACAAGGGTTTGGCTCTGTCTGAAACACTCCACTTCCAGGTAAATCTGAATCTCCTCTCTGTTCTTCAGAGTTTTATTCAAACATCCCTTGATGTTCCTTCTTCTTTCTTTTTATTTTATTTTTAAAATTTTATTACTGTTTTTTAATGTGTATGAGTGTATTCTTTGCATGTCGGTAGGTGCGCCTGTGTCATGCAATGCCTGCAAAGGTCACAAGAGGGCCTCGAATTCCCCAGAACTGGAGTTATGGATGGTTGTTAACTGTGGTGTGGGTGCTGGGACTCTTGAACCTGGGTCCTCTGCAAGAGCAGCCAGTGCTCTTAACTGCTGAGCCATTTCTCCAGCCTCCTTTCTTTTTAAAAAATATTTTAAGCTGGGTGTGGTGGCACACGCCTTTAATCCCAGCACTTGGGAGGCAGATGCAGGCGAATCTCTGTGAGTTCAAGACCAACCTGGTCTACACAGCGAGTTCCAGGGCAGCTGGGGCTACAGGGAGACTCTGTCTCAAAAAAAAAAAAATTTTTTTTTAGGGGCTGGGCACAGTAGCACACAGGAGGCAGAGGCAGGTGGATCTCTGTGAGCCAGCCTGATCTACATAGTGAGTTCCAGGCCAGCTGGGGCTACAGGGAGACCCTGTCTCAAAAAGACCAAAAAAAGGGTTGGCTTTTCTTCCAAAGGACCTGGGTTTTGTTCCCAGCACCAACACAGTGGCTAACATCCACCCATAACTCCAGTTCCAGGGAATCTGATGCCCTCTATGGCCTCCGAGGGCATTGCAGGACAT